AATTTTAAAAAAAAGAAGAAAGGGAGGAACAAAAGGAAGAAAGAAGTAATGGAACAGAATAGAAAAGAGAGGATATCTTATGTAGTAAGGGTAGATATTGTTTTGTGAAACTTTTGTTGACCTGGTTGTGATGGGAAATATCTATCTGGTTATGGCTCAAGTCAAAAGAGTTAGAAAGCTAATGTCACAGATGGAGGAATATAGGACTAAAAAGATTGTAAAACTGTAGTGCAGAGAAGGTACAGAATAGAGATTTAATGGGTTTGGTGGGGAGAGGGAGAAGCAGTGACAGCAAAAAATACTTACTGAGCATCTCTGCAATCTGTTAGCTGCCAATGTAAAACTGTACAACAAAAACTCTCAAGTGCAATCCCTTGATAGTAAGAGAGCTTACTGTGTAGAGAAGGAAAAGATAACTGGGCATTCTAGGTAGCGTTTAAAAGCCAGATGCGTGACTCTGATTGTGGAGGCAGGATAAAGCTCACGTGGGCGCTAGAGGAGACCGGTGAGCTCTTCCCGGGGTAAGCAGAGCTGAGCGGAAGGAGGCTTTAAAGGAGGGATGGAGGGGTTTAGCGTGGATGAGGTACCTTACTTGCTGCGAGTTTGGGAGGAAGCTGGAGGAAGGCCAGCTGCGGAGACCAGGAAGACTGAGAAATCAGTCGTCTATAGTTTTTCCTCTTTCGGTAGAGAGAAAACAGCATGAATTACAACCGGTACATTGTGGAGTCTTTATCACACCCGGAAACATTTATCTTGTAGTATTTATGTAGCTAGCATCCAGAATGGTATCTTGTCCATAATTTAGAACGTGATATTGAACAAAAGGAGGGAGCCGGAGCCTCGCGGTGTGAATGCCTAGGTTAGAGAAGGATCATAATGTTAAGTGGAAAAAAGTTGGAAACAAATGGTCATTATAGGTGTAATCTCAATTTTGGTTGAAAAAGTCTCTTTCATGTCTTAAAACTGAAAGAAAAAAATTTATACCATTTATACCATCTGAGTTTTCTCTAATGAGCATATTTTGCTTTATATTCACATTGTAAAACAAATAGTGCAATAAAAAAAGAGGACAGCAGTGCTTAGTGGGGGTAAGATCATAAGGAGGGCTGAGACTCAAGTAGACACTTTGGATTTGGAGGACAGTGGTGATCTTAGAGTAATTTCAGCTGGAGAGTGAAATTCAAGTTCATAGAATCCAGGACACTTGGCCAAAAAGAAGGGAGGAAGAGGTGTGTGTTAGATTGGGGGAGGCTTCAAGCTGAGGGCCATGTGGGCACGTGTCCTGCACGTCGAAGGAGAGAGCCAGGAGAGGTTGGAAAGGCAATGCACACACCTTTTTAAACATTTCAGAACATTTTTATTATTGCCAAAGAAACCCCAGATCCATTAGCCATTACTCTTCATGCAAAATCTTTTGAAGTGTGTTCAGCACGTCTCACATTGGCTGCATTGCTTTTATCAGATCGACAAGGGAGTAGAAATGGTTAAGACTGATCACTTTTCTAATGTTCTTTTATTCCTATGTCATCTGCAAGTGTCCATTCTGTCCACATGAGATGCCACCAATCACCAGTTGAACTGCAGTTGGTATATGGGAATGAGATTCAGGGCACAGATGGAAACCTTAAAGATCTGCTGTCGTGGTTATGAGAAGATGCAAATCCAGTATAAGCACTTTGATTTAAGTTATAATATAAATTATATTCCTTTCTTAATGCCTCGTTTTGGTGTTTCAGAGGTAGTGCACACTGCAGGGGGGGCCCCATGAGTTTCGACATCAAACTTGATTTTGAAAGGTGGCTCTCCTTTCAGTAACCTTGAGCCAGTAGTTTAATCTCTCCAGCACTCAGTTTATTTATCTGTGAGACAGGGATAATAATACCCACCTAAAAGGGTTATTGTCAGGACAAAATGAGGTAATTTATACAGCTGTCTGGCACAGAGTACATGCAGTCATTTTTTTCCCGTTTGCCTTCTTTCTACTAAAGTTCACAGCAAAGGGGTGTACAATTCGCGTTGGATTTAAGGATTGATTATAATTAGAATCACATTCTTTCCCACTTATTTTGCATCCTCTGAGAGTTTGGGATCACGATGGGTTGCAACTGAGTTAGAAATGACATGGCTGATTGCTTCCCTGCTTTACCTCCCGTGAAAGCAAAGTCATCCTGAGTTCGAGAAAAGTAGATGTTTAAAAAACAAATTGGCTTAGATAGATTCTACTTTCTATTTGCATAGAGTTAATATTAAACCTGTCAATGGTGGAGCCATAAAATTTAATATATTTATGCCATGGTTGCTGAGACGGATTATATTGGTGATACTTCATGAATATGGAAGTCCTTTGTCTGGCAATCTTTATTTTTTGAAACATGAAGAATAAATCATTAAGCGTAAAGAAGTGAAGGGATGAAGCCTCTGGATAGCCAAATGAAATATCCCCAGAGTCCATGCACTGAATTGTATGCTCTTGACTCATAAGGAAGCCCTTAAGCCTTTATTCAGAAAGGGTCCATATACTTGTAATTTAAAAAATTTCCTAGATTCGGCCACATTTATAAAGACTCCTACTTCAGATTAGAATCAAGGAAACATGGCTTCTGGGTACAGGTACACCAATGGTGAGAAGATGTAGTAACTTGAATGGATGGAAAAATTATAAGAAGCAGACTCAGGAACACAGAAAGCATTCTGAAATTTCACAGTGATGTGCCGTGATGTAGGTCTGTTTTCATTTGTTGGGGCAGATTCTCAGTGGGCCATTTTAGTCTAGAAATTTATGTCCTTCAGGGATGGGAAATACTCCTACATCATTTATTTGATATTTTCATGTCTCTTTTATGTTTTTTCTGGAGCTCTTATTCAGAAGTTGGATTGATCATCTAATTTTTCTTATCTTTTCTCTCCTATTATTCATTCCTTTGTCCCACCCAGCCCCCATCCCTTATTTTATGGGAGGTTTTCTCAGCTTTTTGCCAATAATTCTATTGAATTTTCCATTTTTGCTGATGTATATAACATATAAAACATATAAAGTATTAAACATTTCTAAGAGCTCTTTCTTGTGGTCTGAATGTCTCTTTGGTGTATTCTCTTCTTGTTTGTTTTCCTTTTTTTATGAGGGGGGAGGTAATTAGGTTTATTTATTTTATTATTTATATTTGGAGGAGGTACTGGGGATTGAACCCAGGACCTTGTGCATGCTAAGCATGTGCTCTACCACTTGAGCTATATATACCCTCCCCCTCTTCTTATTTCTTGATGCAACAATATTTACATTGCTGAGTGCATTAGAAAATTTTCCTTGCTTCCTGTGTTGTCTCTTTTTCTTCTGCATTCCTCTTTATTGTTCCATTTAGTGTCTCCACTGTGTTTCATATTGTTTCATTTTCATTTGTCAAACTCTCATGGTCCTTGGCTGGCTATTAGTTATTAGGAGTGAGACAGTGCAAAGCTGTGGGGAAGCTCCATGTGGATGATTCACTGTAAGGTGACTGTGCAGAGACCTGGTCCGCTGGGTAGAAGCATTGGCAGCCACTCATGAGTACCTGCGTTTTCTCTTGAGCTGATCAGTTGAACAGAGTCCAGCGTTTTGCAGCGTATAGGGGATAAGTCTGACTTCTTTCTGTCTAAGCTGAGTGGGAGAAATGGTTTGGGGGTGTTTTATCATCATCAAGATTTTATTTAATCTTCCTATCTTTCAGTGGGACATTTCTCAGTAGTGCTCTGTTATCCCCAAGAACAAGGTCCCTGTGATTTAACGTCTCCATTAATAAAAATGCCATCTTTTGTTGGAGTGAAGAAGAATGTGGGATGGGAGACGAGATAGATGGCTCCTACCCTCCGGTGGGCTATAGGTGTGTGTATGTGTGTGTGTGTGTTGGGTTGAAGTTAGTGGCGTGAGAGGGAGTGGGGATATCAGAAGAACTGTTGGCTTTAATTTTGGAGCAGACTGTGAGAACCCTCTGATGACCTGTCTCTTTCAGGGTTCATAATTGCTACAAGTCAAAGCCGATTTTTGAACTCTTTTATCTCACATGTTGTAGTATGGAATTTTTGAGATTGAAAGACACTGGCTGAGGTCTTAAAGGAAGAGGTAAATGCTCCAGGGGAGCATCAAAGGCAAAGACCTAAGAAGATGAATGTGAAAGCAACTTCAAGGGAATTGACAATTCAGGGAGTTAGGGCCAGTTTCAGATTTTTGAAGAGCCTTTTTTGAACTGAGGAGTCCTCAGAAGATTCCAGGGTGGCCTGAGATCCCGTGTTTTTTGGGCATGAAGACATGGGCTTGGCTGTGATGCCATTAGCCAGGATAAGAGCAGTTTCATGAACACATCTGTAAATGGCCATGTCTCAGACTTGTTGGGTAACAGAAACGTTTACTAGGAACATTCACTTAATTTAGTATTTATGGAATACCTCCTGTGTTCCGTGTAGTTGGTCTAGGAGTTAGAGGTGCAAGATGACTATTTTCAGTTGTTTTGTCAAAAAACCCTAAACTCCTTTCTACACTGTTTTTGGTTACATGTGTAATATTTATTCCTGTGGAATGACATCAGAGACAATCTTGAAATGTCAGAAAAAGATAACTCAGTTATTTATTCCTTTCGCATATTTTCCCTCTTGTGTATGTAACTTAAAGTTACTCATGACATGTTTAAAATTTAAATTTTTCATCAAAGAAAGCCATCTGTCATAATGAAGCAAAAAAGGGACATTGCGTGGTATTCTTTGAAGATAAGAGATTGAAAATGAGTCTGTTAGATGCCCTCGATTACAGTTTGAGGTCATTTTGAGCTAAATTGGCTTTGGAATAAGAATTTAAATTACTGGTCAGACTCAATTAAGAGAGCTGGTCATGCAGACAGTTCATTCCCCTTCCTCCCTTCTCCTAAAAAGAATATATTTATGGTTTATAGTTCTTTGCAGCCAAGTTAGATAAAGGCATTATTTTTTAGAAGATAAAAATTTCACACATTAATTGATTTAAGTATTTAAGAATAATTTTGTATCTAAATAAGAAACCTGAGTAATCATTTAATAGTTGGTTTTCTAGCGATACTTACAGAAGACCCTCTTGAAATCCCTGGGAGGTAAATCAGTACATGACTCTGTGTTATGTTTTTGCTGCCCTGTGCAATATTAAGAGAATAGCTATCAAAGACCACCTCAGATGGTTACATTATTTAAATATTATAGCAATAAATGTATAAGGGGGCATATTTTAAGAAAACATAAGTCATAAATATGTATAATTATTTTAACAATGTTGGGATGCCTTTCTAAATATTAAACCTTTTTGTTTGTAATAAGTGGGTTCAAAATTAAATTCTCTTTTAACAAACTCAACAGGAGAGGTTTAAAATGATGAGTTCCATTGTTAATGTAGTCTTCGCTTTAGTCTTTTTATTTACTTATAGACTAGAACAGATACGTTAGTTCTGTTTCTTTTATAACTGCAAATTTCTTAATTTAGAATTTAAAAGCAGAGACGAGAACAGTATAAACCTGCAATGCGTCTGGGGGTGATGAATGTGGAGTTGGTTGTGTATCTGGCTGCCTGGAGAATCTAGGCATGTAAGTGACTTGCACTAGTTAGATGCTACAACTTCACAAGGAAACAAAAGTCTCTTGAATGACTTTCTGATGCCCCTGAAATAATGCTAACATCTGTCCTAGAAGAAAACTGACGGTGTGCAGATGTCACAATCAGTTCCTCATTGGCCAATATCACCTGCCCTGGGATTTGGGTCTGCTGACAAGAAGATGGGTTTGATTTAGGCCATAATCATTATTGACCAACAAATATTTTTCAAATATTTTGACTGAAATGCAATTTGAAATCATAGTCTCATCTGTATATAACATCTTATCGTAAAACTATAACTATAGAGGTATTTTTTTAAAAAAAACACAAAAATTGATTTAGTAATAAAAAGATTATGAAAAAGAAGTTATGTCTGTATATGCATGACTAGGACATTATGTGCTACACTAGAAATTGACACATTGTAACTGACTATACTTCAATTAAAAAATCAATTTACATTTTGATGTTTAATACATTGAATTGCAAAAATTCACATCTAGAGCAAAACGTTTGACTTGTTAATGGTGTTTTGTTTGAAATATTAGGTGGAAATGTCAAGTAGCTGTATGACTGGAATCTCTTCCTGAGACTATGTAGGTGGAGAAAGGCCAAAAAAAAAAAAAAAGAGACAAGTGAGAATTATAGTAAGGAAAGTCTTCTATCATATCTGATAGTTTGGACAATTTGGTAAAAATCACCAAGGAAATGTGATTAGAAATGCTTCCTAAATTATTTTATTGAGGTTAAATATGTATATGTACGTAACCTGTAGTACAGAGATTCCATTTTCTTTGTGACATTGTTTCATCAAATAAATTTCATTTAATTTTCTATCAAAACTTAGCCTTATATTGAACTTAACAATAATTTAGAAAAGTCATGAGTATTATAAAAGTACCTACCTATAAGTTAGATGGCTAACCACTGAAATGTAATTTCTTAGTTTTTTTGAAATTTATAATACATTAAAAAATTTTAATATATGTATTTTTCTTTACGTATAGTCAGTTTACAATACTGTGTTAATTTTTGATGTACAGCACAATGCTTCAATAATACATGAACATACATGTATTCGTTTCATATTCTTTTTCACCATAAGTTATTACAAGATATCGAATATAGTTCCCTGTGCTATACTGTATGAACTTATTGTTTATTTATTCTTTATAGATCAGTTAGTATCTGCAGATCTCTAACTCCCAACTTATCCCCCCATAACCACAAGTTTGTTCTCTTGTCTGATTATGTCTGAGAGTCTGTTTCTGTTTTGCAAATAAGTTTGTCTTTTTTTTTTCTTTTTTAGATTCCACATATAAGTGTTATCATATGGTATTTTTCTTTATCTTTCTGACTTATTTCACTTAGAATGACAGTCTCCAGGTCCATCCATGTTGCTGCAGATGGCATTGTATAATACATTTTAAAAATCATGAGTTTGCCAAATGTATATGCCAGACAGGTCTTGCTATTTAAAAATGAAGCACAGTTTCTGCAAAAGGAAAGTATAGCTTGAATCTTGTTTCACACAAGTGAGTTTCCTAGATTTGGGGGAAAATTAATATATTGGAATCAATGATTGGCCACAGACTTAAATATGATACAAAAGGTTTAAAAATCTAAATTGTCATTGTTTACAAAATACTGGCAAATTAGAGCTAAAAGCGGCTTGGTGTTATTGTGTACTCTTCTGTTTAAAAATAAACAGTGGAAATAATTGTAGAAACCTCTGGGTTTAGAAAAGCTTGTTGGTGGTTCTTCACATCCTCCTAAAAAAGCAGGCTGTCTTTGCATATTAATCACTCTGTGAAAGGAAGCTCGCCTTATTTGCATTGTGCATGCACTGAGAAGTCCAATAGTGCGCCTGAGAAAAAAATGGGGGGATTGTAATTGTTGTTCTCAAAAGGGTTTTTATTCCATTCAAGTGGAAAAGCTGAATGCTGGAGAATTAGTGCAGTGTTTTGTGGAAAAAGAGTCCCTTTCGGCCACTGCATTTCATGTGGTGCAGTCCCAGTGTGTTAGGATCCTGGACACTGGGATGGAAAGTGCCCCATCTTCCTCGGATGCGATCTGCGATCCTGTGGATCTCTGAAATTTTGGAAGCTCCTCCCCCATTTTGTATCCCCAAAGAGTTAAACTGAGATGTTGGCAGTATTTGCGATCTTGGAAATCTCAGGAGAATTAAACACGAACCAAAACAAATCTGAATCTTTGTGTTTTGTGGGGGGCAGGGTGGAGATGCATGTTAAAAAATTAAGTGGTTTATGTAGTAGTATTTTTTAAGAAAATATGTGAGTTAATTAACACCTTGCAGCAATCATTTGTCCCCCAAATTGATTTTCAGTGGTATACTTGAAATTACTTTAATAATGACATGTTTGCTTCATTGTATTTTAAGACTCATTGGTTAAAAATAAACATTAAGAGTAAACAGCAGAAATGCTCTTAAGGTTATTGAAGCTTTCTTTTAATAAGATCTCATTAGATGAGCTACTTTTAGCTCATCTGTGTTTCCCTTCTTCCCTGATAAAACACATCTCCATGAAGCCTTTTCCTGACCTCTCAGTTCTAGTCGATTCTAGCTGGTACCAGTCATGTGAGCCAAGAGAGTTTCCAGAACCCCAGCATGTACATTAGTTATTTTGGTGGTCTGTTACTTTGAGCTGGTCTCATATCCTTTCCATGTTTTTTAGCATCTTTTTAAAATTTCTGAAAAAAAAAAGAGGGAAAAATTTCTGCAATCTATGGCATTCCCAGTTAGACTTCGAATTTTGCAAGGGAGGGAGTGTACCGTTATCCGTGTGGACATCTTTTGACAGAATGATTATGTGTAATCATGGACACAAAGCTTATTGTTCTAAATGATTTTGTTAAATATTAGAAGGTGGTTAACTGATTTAAAAGGTTGCACACAGGTTTTACTAAAAACCACTTGGCTTAGGTATATTTGATTATCAGCACAAATACTTTTTATTGCCTTCTTTAATGCTGTACAGATTTGCTTATTTGACAGTTGAACACACATCCTCTGATGATACCATTTATATTTTATTTGAATTGCTTTCTACAATACTCACGTATATGGAAATTGTGTTTCATTTGGGCTAATGCAGAATATTCCATAGACTTTTAGTGTGTATTGGGGATGTTGTTGTGAAAAATGGAAGTAGCCAAGATGTAGCTTGAAAAAGTAGGACCAGTAGAGGCTGAAAAAGCATCTGACAAGGTGCAACACGTCTTCATGATACGAGCACTCAGTAAACTAAGAATAGAAGGGACTACCTCAGTCTGACAAAGGGCATCTACGAAAAACCCAGAGCTAATATACAGGTGGCTAATGAGCATAGGAAAATATTCTTGACATCATTAGCCATCAGGGAAATGTAAATCAAAACCACAGTGATGTATTACTTCATACCCAATAGGATGAACCCACTAGAATATTCTGCTGCTTCATACCCACTAGAATATTATGTTTAGCGAAGTAAGTCAGAGAAAGGCAAATACTGTGCACTGTCACTT